TCTACATTATTTCTCTGAGAATCTTGCTCAATTCTCTTAGGATGGCCTTCAGGCTACAAAGGTTCCTGAGTCATTCTACCACCTCTAGTCATAACTCTAACAACATTATCATTATTCTTACTATTCAATTCATTGAGCAAATCATTTTGAGCTTTAAGTACTTGTTCTACTTGAGTGGTAACCATAGAAACATGTTTACTAATAAGTTTAAGTTCACATTTGACATTAGCCATATAATCACCCAAGTGTTCAAGCATATTTGAATTGTATTTCAATTGTCTACCAAAATAAGCATTAAAATCTTCTTGCTTAGCCATAAATTTATCAAACTCATCTAAGCATGGGCTAGCAAACTTAGTAAATGGGATTTCAGCTTTATCATATCTATAGAGAGAATTTACCTTTACTACCTGTGTCGGGTTATCAAGACCATGAGTTTCTTCAATAGGTAAAGGATTAAGATCATATGTTTCTTCAACAGGTGGTAAATTAAGACCATGTATTTCTTCAATAGGAGGTAAATTCTTAACATCTTCAGCTTTAATACCTTTTTCTTTCATAGATTTCTTTACCTCTTGCATATCTTCAGAACTGAGAAATAGAATACCCCTCTTCTTCAGAGTTGGTTTAGGAATAGGCTCAGGAATTGGCTCCGGAGGTGTCCAATTATTTTCATTTGTCAACATATTATTCAATAGAATTTCAGCTTCATCCGGTGTTCTTTCCCTGAAAACAGAACCAGCACAACTATCCAGGTAATCTCTGTAGGCATCGGTTAGTCCATTATAAAAGATATCAAGTATTTTATTTTTCTTAAGAGGATGATCAGGCAAAGTATTAAGTAATTGGAGAAGCCTCCCCAAGCTTGTGGGAGACTCTCTTCTTCAATTTGCACAAAATTATATATATCCCTTAAAGCGGCTTGTTTCTTATGAGCAGGGAAATATTTAGCAGAGAAGTAATAAATCATATCCTGAGGACTACGCACACAACCAGGACCAAGAGAATTAAACCATATCTTAGCATCACCCTTTAATGAGAACGGAAATATTTTAAGGATATAAAAGTAGTGAATTCTCTTATGATTAGTGAACAGGGTAACTATATCATTTAATTTAGTAAGATGTGCCACAACAGTTTCAGATTCATAGCCATGAAAAGGATCAGATTCAACCAAAGTAATTATATCAGGATCAACAGAGAATTCATAATCCTTATCAGTAACACAGATAGGTGAAGTAGCAAAAGCAGGGTCAGGTTTCATCCTAGCATTTAGAGATTGCTTATTCCATTTAGCTAATAACCTCTTAGGTTCATATCTATCTTTGCAAGCTAAAATAGCTAAAGAAGCTTCTTTATCAAAAACACAACTCTCAGGAATAACAGGCAAGTCTTCATCATCAATTTCATCAGTATTATCAGATTCAATATTTTCAATCTCTCTAGCCCTAGCAAGTTGTTCATCAAGAAATTCACCAAGTGGCACAGTAGTATCAAGCATAGAAATAGTTTCATCATAAGTATCATGTATAGCAGAAGTGGCATCATCAATAACATGCGACATATCAGAACGAATAGCAGAAGCAGGTTTAGGTGTCGCAAGCTTACTCAAAACAGAAGGTGAATCAAGTGCGGAGCTAGATGGCAGTTCCTTACCTCCCCTCGTAGTTGATGGATAAATCTTGGTTCTTGGATCTTTCAAGTTCTTCATAATGATAAGCAGATATAAATCCCGAGTGACTCAAAGAATAGAGCTATGCTTCTCGGCAACGGCGCCAGAAAATAGTCTTGATAACCCACAAGTATAGGGGATCGCAATAGTTTTCGAGGGTAAAGTATTCAACCCAAATTTATTGATTCGACACAAGGGGAGCCAAAGAATATTCTCAAGTATTAGAAGCTAAGTTGTCAATTCAACCACACCTGGAAACTTAGTATCTGCAGCAAAGTATTTAGTAGCAAAGTAATATGATAGTAGTGGTAACGGTAGCAAAAGGCAACAGTAGTAAAAGTAATGTTTTTGGTATTTTGTAGTGATGATAGCAATAGCAACGGAAAAGTGAATAAGCGAAGAACAATATATGGAAAGCTCGTAGGAATGGATTGGTGATGAAGAATTATGCCGGATGTGGTTCATCATGTAGCAGTCATAACCTAGGGTGAAACAAAACTAGCTCCAGTTCATCAATGTAATGTAGGCATGTATTTCGAATATAGTCGTACGTGCTTATGGAAAAGAACTTGCATGACATCTTTTGTCCTACCCTCCCGTGGCAGCAGGGTCCTTACGGAAACTAAGGGATATTAAGGCCTCCTTTTAATAGAGTACCGGAACAAAGCATTAGCACGTAGTGAATACATGAACTCCTCAAACTACGGTCATCACCGGTAAGTATCCCAATTATTGTCACTTCGGAATTAACGGATCATAACACATAATAGGTGACTATAGATTTGCAAGATAGGAACAAGAACTCTCATATATTGATGAAAACATAATAGATTCAGATCTGAAATCATGGCACTCGGGCCCTAGTGATAAGTATTAAGCATAGCAAAGTCATAGCAACATCAATCTCAGAACATAGTGGATACTAGGAATCAAACCCTAACAAAACTAACTCGATTACATGATAGATCTCATCCAACCCATCACCGTCCAGCAAGCCTACGATGGAATTACTCACACACGGCGGTGAGCATCATGAAATTGGTGATGGAGGATGGTTGATAATGACGATGGCGACAAATTCCCCTCTCCGGAGCCCTGAACGGACTCCAGATCAGCCCTCCCGAGAGGTTTTAGGGCTTGGCGGCGGCTCCGTATCGTAAAACGTGATGAATTCTTCTCTCTGATTTTTCTCTCCCCGAAACACAATATATAGAGTTGGAGTTGGAGTCGGAGGAGCTCCAGGGTGCCCACGAGGTAGGGGGCGCGTTCTAGGGGGGCAGGCGCGCCCCCCACCCTCGTGGACAGGTGGTGGGCCCCCTGGCCTTCATCTTTTGCATGTATTTTTATATTTTCCAAAAAGTTGCTCCGTGAAGTTTTAGATCATTCTGAAAACGTTTGTTTCTGCACATAAATAACACCATGGTAATTCTGCTGAAAACAGCGTCAGTCCGGGTTAGTTGCATTCAAATCATGCAAGTTAGAGTCCAAAACAAGGGTAAAAGTGTTTGGAAAAGTAGATACGACAGAGACGTATCAGTTATCAGATACAATAATTAAAAGTTAGCAAAATATTACAAATAAATATTTCTTGAGGAACAAGATATTTGGAGCTCATCGACTTGCTGACAATTAAAATTCCTCAACTCTGGATGTCACCGATGTCGTTAGCGAGACGAAGAGGGGGGGGGGGGGTTGAAGAGTAGAGAGAGAGAAAATGACAACAATACATCTTTCTCGCGTCCTATTTTGTGCTCACGCCAGTTGGAGGGATCACTCCCCTCTGTTTAACCATCTCTCCCGCAACTCTGCGTGCCCTAATCCTGATCACCAACGAGGCAGATGATGACGTCCAGGGAAGTTGTCATGCTGGCGTGTGGGGTGTGCTCCTACCGCTAGCGGCAACATGTCAACAAAATAACGCCAAGCATCACGTTGGATCATATCTCGTCCTAATCACGGCCGATGATACGTTGCCATGCCCGCACGGAGACCGCGGCGCACGGACCTGTCAGCGTCACCGGATGAGGCTGCACTGCTGCTGCGTCAACGGTCAACGACCACATCTTTCTCCCTCGATCCGATTCATTCTTAAAGCTCCCGGTCATCACCAAACCGGGAACTAAAGTAAAACGACACACATACACACTGCACTACACACGCGCAGGGAAGAAAACCAACAGAAACGAACAAAAGAAGCATAAAACGAGAAGGGAATCGACGGTCGCCGAACCATGCACCACCAACTGCCTCGCAGCTCACACTTCTTCTAGTAGTCCTGGTGGTCGTTGTCTTAATATAGGCACATAAAACCGAGGAAAAACGTTTCTGATCATTATTATTTTCACAAAAAATGATTCCATTTCCATGGCGGCCCATCCATTGATCATCCAGTTGCAGGTTTTCTAATCGATCCGGCCCTTGTCTCCTCTCCAGCTCTCCTTCGTATCATCCGCTCTGCCTCCGGTACGTGCGGATCGGTCGGGGCGGGGCGAGGGTCCCATGGCTCACATGGAGGCGCAGAGCTCGCCACGCCGGTATGTTTTTCCTGCTCCTGCCAGCAGCACGCACGTCCGCCGATCATGTGTGCCCCAATCCAATCCAATCCCCGTTCGTGGGCGCGCGGTGCCAATTAGGGGTTCTACCATATTGTAATGCGGGTTTGGATTCCAACCATGTGATTCCTAGGGCTGATGGATCCCCTTTGTGCTCCTTTCCTATGTGGCGTCGCTCGTCGCCTCTTCTTTATCGCAAAGCTTGCGGTGGCAAATCAGTGGGGAACGAAAGAGGTTGCAATTGTATAGCCTGTGTTTTAGTAGAGAGAGAGAATGGGCATTTGGCATTGCGATCTTCCTTTTTCTGTAGATAGATGCCTAGTTTGATTTTCAACGTGTGCGAATGGAGGCGCCTTTGTGTGTGTGAGCAAATTAAATTGACGGGGTGGGGAGGGCACTCGCACAAGCACAACTCGCATGGCACTGCCTAGCTGGGTCTCATTTTACAATTGTTTGGTTCATACTTGCTTTTCTTCTCCATCGACTTTCGTTCACGCCTATCTCTTTTGCTCTTCCATACTCCCTTTTCGTAGATTTTATTTTGGCTCCGCGGTTAATGGGGTGGGAATGGTAGGGGTACGTAATTTGGAATTCGGTAGGTGAATTCGCGCAAGTGGGCGAAAAGGAATGGAGGGAATGGACGACGAATGGCTGCTGATGGTGTTATGGGTGCCTCTGATGGACTGTTGTGCTCGTCTCATTCTCGCAGGGCTTGCCGCTAGCTAGCTAGCAAGTTTTGAGTGACGCGCCTCTGGTTTTGCCGCCAGGCCGAGGCAATGGACCCGGCCAGGGCGGCGCAGGCGGCGACGCGCCGCAAGAAGATGACCAAGCAGCTCACCGGGAAGCGGGACGACACGGCGCTGCACGGGGCGGCGCGCGCCGGGCTGCTCGTCGCCGTGCAGGAGACGCTGTCCGGCGCGTCGCCCGAGGAGCTGCGCGCGCTGCTGTCCAAGCAGAACACGTCCGGGGAGACGCCGCTGTTCGTCGCCGCCGAGTACGGCTACGTGGCCCTGGTCAACGAGATGGTCAAGTACCACGACGTCGCCACCGCCGGCATCAAGGCCCGCAGCGGCTACGACGCCCTCCACGTTGCCGCCAAGCAGGGGGATGTAGGTACATCCATCGTCTACGTCTAGTCCCCTCTCGTCCTCTCACTCTCACTCTCACACGCACGCATCACGCGCCATCTTCATGGTTTAGACAATGATTCATGTTGCTTGCTTGCATGCATGGTGCAGAGGTGGTGAAGGAGCTGCTGCAGGCGCTGCCGGAGCTGGCCATGACGGTGGACGCGTCCAACACGACGGCGCTCAACACCGCGGCGACGCAGGGCCACATGGAGGTGGTGCGGCTGCTGCTGGAGGTGGACGGGACCCTGGCGCTGATCGCGCGGAGCAACGGCAAGACGGCGCTGCACTCGGCGGCGAGGAACGGGCACGTGCAGGTGGTGCGCGCGCTGCTGGAGGCGGAGCCCAGCATCGCGCTCCGGGTGGACAAGAAGGGGCAGACGGCGCTGCACATGGCCGCCAAGGGCACCAACCTCGACCTCGTGGACGCGCTCCTCGCCGCCGACCCCTCGCTGCTCAACCTCCCGGACAACAAGGGCAACACCGCGCTGCACATCGCCTCCCGCAAGGCGCGGCACCAGATCATCAAGCGTCTGCTCGAGCTGCCGGACACGAACCTCAAGGCGATCAACCGGGCCGCCGAGACGCCGCTGGACACGGCGGAGAAGATGGGCAACGGCGAGGTGGCCGGCGTGCTGACGGAGCACGGCGTGCAGTCGGCCCGCGCCCTGAGCCCCACGAGCGGCGGCAACCCGGCGCGCGAGCTGAAGCAGCAGGTGAGCGACATCAAGCACGAGGTGCACTCGCAGCTGGAGCAGACGCGGCAGACGCGGGTGCGGATGATGGGGATCCAGAAGCGCATCAACAAGCTCCACGAGGAAGGGCTGAACAACGCCATCAACTCCACCACGGTGGTGGCGGTGCTGATCGCGACGGTGGCGTTCGCGGCCATCTTCACGGTGCCCGGCGAGTACGTGGACGCGGCCAGCCTGGGGCCGGGGCAGGAGCTGGGCGAGGCCAACATCGCCCACCAGACCCCCTTCATCATCTTCTTCGTGTTCGACTCGGTGGCGCTCTTCATCTCGCTGGCGGTGGTGGTGGTGCAGACGTCGGTGGTGGTGATCGAGCGGAAGGCCAAGAAGCAGATGATGGCGGTGATCAACAAGCTCATGTGGGTGGCCTGCGTGCTCATCAGCGTCGCCTTCCTGGCGCTGTCGTTCGTCGTCGTCGGCCGCGCGGAGCAGTGGCTGGCCGTCGCGGTCACCATCATGGGCGCCACCATCCTGGTCACCACCATCGGCACCATGCTCTACTGGGTCATCGCGCACCGGCTCGAGGCCAAGCGCATGCGCAACATCAAGCGCTCCTCGATGAGCCGCTCGCGCTCACACTCGGGGTCTGGGCTGTCGGAGCACGAGTGGGTCGACGAGGACTTCAAGAAGATGTACGCCATCTGATCATGATCATCCCCACGCCCTAGTGCAACATTGATTGCAGCACTTGATTTACCACGTACGATGACCCGAGGAGTAGCGATGATTGTAGTCGGGCTGACATTTTTATCCGGTAGCTCAGCTCATTGTGCATTACTAGTGTGCATTACTAGAGATCCCCTCTGCCTCCGCGTCGCTCCCGCAGGGGCGACTCGGGCAGCGCCAACCCTAGCCGCCGCCGGGCCCCCTCCCTTTCCCCTCTACCTCGTCGCCACCGGAGGGGGTCGCCGGCAAGCCGTGCGGCTGCCGAGGAAGGTGGCGGCAAGGATCTGCCTGCTCCGTCGCGCGCGGGGGGCTCTAGAGCCGAGGCGGCGGCCTCGGGTGGTAGTGCGACGCCGTTCTCAGCCAGCGGCGGTCGCGGGTGCTGGCCGGCTGCCTTGGCCGCTCGGGCGGCAAGGTGACGGCGGGTGGAGGCTGCTGGACGCCGGGCTGAGGGGGCCCCCGTCCAGATCTGACGCCTTCGCCTCCAACGCTCAGATCCCCTTTCAGATCCGGTCTTCGGTCGTCCCTGGCTGATGGCGCCGTGTTTGAAGCTGGGGCTGGGGGTGGTGTAGTGTCCGGAGAAATCCAGGCCGACTCAGCCGGCCACGACGGCGGCGACGCTCGCGGACGCCGTCCCCTACATGTAGGCGCCGTTTTGGTACTTCCCTCCCCCTTTTGCCTTTCTCCCCTGCTCGTTTCCGGGCGAAAGCCAAAATCCATCTGGATTGGGCGGCAGCGACGCCCGTGGCGCCGTCTCCTTCATGAAGGTGCCGCCTTTGGTGAGTTTTGGGACGATGGCGAGTCTACTCCGTTGGTAGGCGTTCGGCGGCTACGTGGTTGGAGGCTGCGTTTAGGCTTCCTCCATTGCAGCTTTGTCATCAACAGTCTCACGCCGTGCATTTGCTTCTCCTCGTGTGCAGCTCCTCTCAGTGCCAAGGTTCTCCTTGTTGAGCCCGGCGCTGCAGGTTGGCGGTGCTCTGGTTTGGTCTTCCCGGTGGCTTCGGTGGCGGTTATTCATCCTAGCTCTAGGGAGAGCGTTTGCATCTTCCAACGGATCGGCGCCTCGAGCCAGGCGAGGGGGCAGGGAGCCCCTTTCGGAGATGGAGAAGGGTGTATCCGTTTTGGCCGCAGCCCATGGAGCTGACAACGTGTTTCTTCCAATCTGCAAGTTGTGTCTCCTCAAGGCCTCCCTGGTGTCACTGAGTGAGGGATTGCGATCGATGGAGGGCTTCACTCTCTTCAAGCTGCTCTTGGGCTTTAGTTTTTCTTCATCTTTGCTTGTAGGTTGCGTGAAGCTAGCTAGCTGTTGCAGAGCACCATGTATCTCTTAGCTATTTTTTCTGCTCCTGTAAGTGGGTTGATGCTGTAATCCTGGCCGGTTGATGGCTTTGTTAATTCAAAGCTGGGCTCGTCGTGAGCCTTCGTTCTAAAAAAATCATTTAAGCTGTTCACCGTTTGCTGAATGTTGATTAGAACATGGAACGGGAGGAAGTACAGTAGCAAGGATGTTGTCAGTGCACTTTTTTTTACTTCTTGTGTAGATTAATATACGACGATAGGAAAATTAATAAAAAAAATAAAAACGCAAATCAATGTTCCATTACTTTTTGTTTCGAGAAACTTCCAATCTATTCATTTTCAATTGTGACGGTACACAGAACAACAGAGGTATAAAAATTACAACCATGTCTGTGGACTACGTAGTGACGACTACAACATTGGAGCAAGCCGAAAGCGCGCTGCCGTCATCACCCCTCCCTCATCGGAGCCAGGCAAACCTTATTGTAATAGACAGTCGGGAAGTCGTCGTGCTAAGGCACCATAGAACCAGCGCAACAGGATAGCAACCATCGCCGATGAAGAAAGTCGTAGATCAGAAGGATCAAGTCTATAAACACCCAAACGAAGACGAACAAAGACCGGATCCAAACAGATCCATCGAAGACCAGCACCGACTAGATCCCACGAGATCCGATAGAGACAAATCTCCACACGCCCTCCGACAATGCTAGACGCGCCATCGGGACGGGGATAGAATGTGGGAGACATTATTCCTACTAAGAGGCATCGCCGCTGCCACACAGCCCTAACCAAGACGCTGGATCTAACAAGAATGAGAACGAGGTCTCTCCCGCCGGCGGGGGGCCGAGACCCTCCGCACCTCCATGGCCTAGAGGCCATCCGAGATGGGGCGGACCTGCGGCAAATTAATAGACTTTTGACCATATGGGTAGCTGAATTCCGATCTGCCGACTAAGTCACTCTGCTTTGTTTTTTTCCGACGAGGTGCTTTTTATTGACTCATAATGTAGCATCAGGGATACAATCATAACAAGCATACAACTGGCCTCTACTGCTAGGATGCACACAACCAACACACAAAATCACATCGACAAAAAGCAAAGTCATATAAAACCGAGGCTATGCCTAGCCGCATGAAGAAAAAGAAGAATAATAAGAAGAAAACGAAGCGATCAAAACAGCTATCGATAATATACCACAATGACCACATGTACCATCCATCTTTTGACAACATATAGACTACGAGAAAGATTCTCCGAAGACGATGCCTCCATGAAGGGAACAACGCGCATATGCCACCATCGTCGGATCAAACTATCGAAGGTCAGATCGTGGTTCACCCTGAAGATCACGGTCGACGAAACTCCAAGCAATGCCTTCATCAAGGTAACAACGCAAAATACACATGCATTGCTAAGTATAACTAACAAGGGCCACACTTAGGGTTTTCACCCCAGAGCTCGAGACCGGGTACTTGAGAAGCACCACCCAACAGAAGTCATTATATGAAGTCTCCGCCACTTGCCACTGTCCTAGCAGCTGCATACGCGTACAGCCCGACAGATGACCATGCCCAGGCGAGCAAATAGTCAAGCTACGACAAAAGTTGCTTGCCATCGCATAATGAAGTGATTGACAAGGGAGGAAGGTCGCCGGCACTGCCAAAATCCCATATTCGGGACGATCCAGAGTCCCCGCACTGTCCTCACAAGTGACGGCCAATAACTAATCCGAATCAGACAACAACAACACACACCGCCACTACCTCTGCCATCCTCATATGCGGTAGTATATGAAACTGCGGGGAAGGACACATATACCGCCATGCATCGACCACAGCGACACGGATCAACCGAGGCATGAATGGCCACGGAATCGCTAGTCCACAAAGGAACCATCAACTGCTCAGCACCATCACCTGCAGATCTGGACTAATATGACTTCGGCATACATCATCATTGCCACCAGATTGAAAGTTCCAAGCTGTTCGCACACGAACATGTCACCGTGTACCTCCAACACCGAGGGTGATGCACCGCAGCTCACGTCGAAGGAGACCCGTCCGGAAGCGCGGTACGCAAGCAATCCGGCGGGTGCTTTTCAGGACCCGAAACCCCACGCGCCCGGGAGGGACCCCGTCTGGACGTGCGGCGGCTATGGGATGCCCTAGGTCGGTTCGCCCGCCCCTAGAGCCTCGAGGATCACCGCCGTGCAATGAAGAACGAATGAAGAACGAGAGAGAAAGAACAAGGGAGAGATGTAAAACTAGGGTAAAAAGTAGATGCGTTTTGCGATTGTGTGTTGTTGTTGAATCGGCCGTCACCCCTTGGGTATATAAGAGGCGGCTGGACTTCCCGTGCAAGGAAAAGATTTGGATTCACGTCCAAAACCCTAGTCAAATTCAGATTGGTTTTGTCCGAACTTTCCAAAACTGTTCGGTTTAAACTGGCTGTACCTTGCGGGTCCTTTTTGTGGTGGTAAACGATTTCGGATGGAAACGAGTCCAAAAGAAATCTTGACCATTTCGACGAGATGAACAACTTTCGTGTTGAACGGTTTTTTCATAAAAGGTCATCTCGAGGGTCAAATCGCTCGCGCAAAACAGCTAATTATTCACGCAGCTCATCAGACATACCCACATATGTGTCTGGTTCCGGGTGTCATATTTTGCTCAGTGGAGGGCCATGCTGTGCGGGCTCTAACTTTTGCATACGACCTCGGATTGGGACGATCTTTATATTAAAATTGATTGTTTCGACGAGATGAAGACAATCCATGTAGAAACTTCTCCCATATGAGGCCATCTTGGGGGCGTAATCAGCCGAATAGTGTTCTGAATACAAAATCTGAGTACTTCGAACACAACTTCGGCCTTAGAGATGAGACCAGATGACTATGGCCCAAATATCAAAGGTTTTCCTTTTGACGATACGGAACTTTCTCATTTTGAGCACTTCTCCATTTGAGGCCATCTTAATTAAGTTCTTCGCCGTGCCAAAATCTGGTGTCAACACATGCCCCCTTGTTTTTCGGCAAACTTGTGTGCCGAAAAATAACTTGCACGATGCTTTTCATAAGGACGATGTCAACACTCCATTGGCCATTTTATGTGCTTAGGGCGATAATTTCTATATCGACCATGTTTAACTTCTTGTTTACATCATACCCTGGAACCGATTACCACCAATCAGCTTTAAAGAGATGGGAATGAACCCGTTCCTCGTAGCACTAAGGAAATCAAACTCCGAGAGGTCACGCTGTGTTAAGCAAGTAACATCCGGATGATTCCAATCCACCGATGCATCGGCCAAAGCAACACAAGCCGAATTATCCGCGTGAATGACTTCTACCTCATCATCGACTCACTGTATTAAGAATTGATGCATGGTAGATGGCACACATTGGTTAGCATGAACCCAATCGCGACCTAATATAACATTATAGTTACCTTGCACCTCGGCGATGAAGAATGTGGTGGCCAAAGTTTTTGCTTCCCACGGTGAGTTTCATGCACATCACACCTTTGGCCTCTGTCTTTTCTTTACCCTCAAATCCATTAAGTACCATATTGGTCTTCATCAATGCATCATTATCTAATCCCAACTTCTTGAAGACCGAGTAGGGCATAAGATTTACCACAACACCACCATCAACGAGCATCCTAGCAACCGGCGATCCGT